CAGTTGTGAAGACCTCTTCCGTGGTCACCATTTCCTTCTCACCCCACGGCCTTTGTACCTGCTCTCCCATGCCCTTGAGATGCTCTCCCCATGTGTTTGCATCATTGTCCCTGTTTCCTTCTCTTCCTGCCAGTGTCCACTAAGATGTCCTCCTCTTCGGAGTCCTTTCCCAGTGACCCTACTGAAGCAACTCCCCAGCACACAGGCCACTCCCAGGGAACCATCTGGGCGTTTTTAAAAAACCCTGAAGTTGCTTTGTTCATTTGGTACTGGCCAATCTGCCTGCCCCACGGAGAGCACAGGGGCCAGAGGGCTGCTCTGCCTGGTCTGGCAGAAGAGTGCCCGGCACATAACAGCTCAGTAGAGCAGTGTGTTACAGGGTTGGGTCCCTCTTCCAGACAAAGGAGACACCCTCTCGCAGACAGAGCCGCGAGATGTCCGTGGAAGACAGAGAGGAGCACACCAGGTGCAGCCCTGGGGCTGGGTGCTGTGTCTCGCTTGCCCATCTGGGACAGGACACGCAGCACTGACCAGTTAGGCTCCCCTCCACCCCAGACTTTGACCTGGGCTTCGGCCTCTGTCCACTGCCCCCAGCATCCCATCAAGCTCCTCTTCCGTCCTAGGTATCTGGTCTCCCTGACCTTCCTTCAGCAAGAATCCCAGTCAGTTTAGCCAAAGGCCCACCCTGTGCCCTGGCTGTGGGTCCCCTTGTCCATCTCATATCAGAACTGAGCCTGGCTCTGCTCTGGTCACCTTCCCTACTCGCGTGCTCCTGTGTGAGGTCTGGTTGCAGGCCCTTCCTGCTGTCCAGCATGAGCCAGCGCCACAGCCCACCGCAGAGGAAGCTCTGCAAGGCAGAACCTGCTCCCCGCCTTGCGGGACGTGGTCCACTGCGACGTCCAGGACTGGAAGGCTGTGATGCCAGGAGTCAGCACACCCCCCTTCCACATACACCAGACCCTCCGTGGGGGGCAGGAAAACCACGGCCGTGTCCCTGCTCTTTCCAGCTCTACCTGTCCTACCTCGTTCTGTAAGTGCTGGGTTTGATCCTGTAAGTGGACCTCAGCTGGGGGTGACTTAGCCCCTCGGGGGACCTTTATCATGTGTGGTGACATTTGTTGGCTGTCACAACAGGGGTGCCACTGGCCCCTGGCAGGTGAAGGACGGAGATGCTGGTAGCATCCTACAGAGCACAAGGTCCACCAGCATCATGTTGGCTCTTTGGAACCAAAGTGACTTTAGCCTCCATCATGGGGTGGCTGCCCAAGCCCAAGGACACCTGAAGCTTGAAACACAAAACACCAACCAGAGGGAGAGCCACCGACAGCCAACGGTCAACGGGAAGGGTGATAACTGGGGCAGCAGGGCTCTCAGCCAGGGCCCAGGATGGCAGGAAACTCGGCTCTGAGGCAGCTCTGCAGTGCTGGGGCGGGCAGTGTCCACCCCTGAGCTGTCTTCCTGCCTGAAGTGTGATGAGCAGTGATCCGGCTGCTGCCCCTGGTACTGTGCCCCCACACAACAGCCTCCACGCTGTACAGAGACCGCATCCTGCTGCGCTCCCCTCTAGAATCAGGGCTGGAGTTCACACTGGCCCCACTGCTGTCTAAGTGCAGAGGGAGCTATTCAAGGCTCGCAGTGAATATGGTTGAGCCATATAGAATACCATACTGAAGGGTAAAAGGAATGCATTCTAGGTACAATTAAATGGAAGGTATTCGGAAAGTGTTATGCCCCCAGAAAGCAAGGGGTGAATAAGAGGAAGGTCTCATTCACTTACATAAAACCCCACCCAAAACTATATGGCTGTTTTTCTTCAGCTCCAAATATATTTATAAAAATGCCCAGAAAATGTATGGAAGAGTATTCCTCAAACCAAGGAGGGAGGTCCCCTCAAAGGGGAGGACTGTAACTGGTGGTAATAGTCAAGCAGAACTTTACACTTGTCTCTTTAAAGTTGTGTTAAGAAAATGTATTTGCCTGTAGCAGCGAAATTAAAAACTACCAAGGTTGATTCCACTGCTGTCTATAAAACTGGGCAGAGTCAAAGAGTGACCCCAGCGTAACACCCTGCGACAAGGCACCAGTGTGTCCAGGGACAGCTGTCCCAGCATCACACTCAGAGGGAGCCCCAGGCTTTGTTCCCCCACAGCCTGTCTCCCTGCCCCTTCATGGAGAGCCCGCTTACCTCTGCTGCTCCGTCTGCCTGGTGCTGAGGACAGAGCCCCAGCCTCCCCGCTGATCAGGAACTCCTGGGACCCCAGGAACCAGAGATTTCAGTCTTTGGCTCTGGACACAGATGAGAGCCCTGAGGATTTGCCTCTCAGAGGATTTTGCTCATTACCAACCCGGCACCTCTGTGCCCGTGTGAAGGCAGAGTGTGGAGCCTCTGCAGCCCTGAGGCTGTGGTCCTCATCACATTCCTTTTTCCAGGGTCTCCCCTCCCAGTCCCACCTGACCTCTGCGCCCATCTCCCCGTGAGAAATCCCCACGCCCCACCCCCTGGTGCTGGAGGCCCCTGATCAGCCCTGCCCACCCCCACCCTCAGGCCTCCCCCATCTTTCCACAAGCCCCCTACACCCCAGCAACCCCTGGCCATGCCTGGGACACTGAAGTGGGGCTCAGGCACATGGGGAGCAGTCCACAACCTGGGTATATGGACAGGAAGTCCACTCCACTTCAGCTGGTGACTGAATAAAGGGAAGGCCACTGTAGACCTCCACTGGGTGAGACCAAAGCAGCCCTGGTGCCAGGGCAGGGCCACCTGTGGTGGTGAAACACAGTGGGTGGGAGGGCCACCTTTGGAGCAAGTCCATGTGCTTCTGGACCTGGTTTCACCCCTTTCTGCTGTGTGACCCTGGCCAAGTGACTTCATCTCTCTGTGCCTCCATTTACCCTCCTGTAAAACAGGATTCAAATAGGACAGACTTCACAGGGTCACTGAATGGATTCCGTTAGTTAGTCCTTCACAAGTGCTGGGGACAGTGGCTGGGGTGGGTGACATGGACACCAGGTGCTGTTGCTTGGGTTAACAGCCTATTTGAGACACGATCCACATGATTTTGAGTTGAGTGTTGGCTTTGACTTTGGAGCTGCTCCCCTCTCTGGCTGTGAGGGCAGTGCTGGTGTGGACACTCACACCGCTCTGTGCGGGCTGCGCTTCCCTGTCTCTTGGGTGTGCCTGGGAGAGGACTGCTGGCTCCTTGGTGCTGTGTGGTGTATCCTGAGGAGCCGAACCATATTCACATACTCCCTCTCCAGGCACGGAGAGCACCCTCCCCGCGGCGGGCACGTGGAGAGAGGACCACAACCTCCTGTGCTGGTCACTGCCGGGCCAGCTCCCACCGGAGCGCAGCGCTGACCATCCGTGTTTGGCAGATGCCTGATGGAGTCTCTCGCTGGGCCTTGCTGGACTTCCTGCCTTTTCATTTTGTGGAGCAGTTTGTGCATCCTGAGGACCAGCCCTCACCTGTGGCCTGCCAGAGTCCCGCCCAGCCTGCAGCCGGGCCCCCCTCCTGGCGCTGACTGTTGACTTTAGTGTGGCTGCTTTCCTCAGGACGCCCAGACTGTCACATCTGCTCCCCGGGTTAGCTAAGGGGGTGCCTGGCTTTGGAAGGGGTGGGGGCTGGGAGTGCGCTGGGGGCTGGGGGCGGTCCCACAGGCTGCGCTCACCTCCCGCCCACCTTGGAGCTCTGCGCCTGCCATTGGAGCCCCTCCCTGTAGGACCCCTGTGCTTCAGTGACAAGTGGCAGAAATGACCCTTTAAGCAGTTGTGTTGCAGAAAATAAAAATAATAACCATCAGCTGTAGTGGGTGAGCGCCAAGATCCAGCAGTCAGACCTCCCCAGATTGGCCATGGCTTTTGTCTTTTCTAAATTGAGCATAAACATATTCCCCACCTCAGAACCACGTGTGTGGCGGGGGGAGAGTAAAGTGCACCTTGCTGGTGAGTGACGAGCACCCTCCCTGGTTCTTCTCACACCATCGGTAGGTGCTGGCTGACACTGTGTCCCTGCCCACCTGGGCCCAGGCTGACCCACCTCCCAGCCTGCAGCCCTGCCTGTCCTCCTGAGAGCGCTCTGTGTGCAGGATGATGGTGTGAGCCAGAAGCAAGGTCCCGAGCACCAGGTGCCCACCATGCACCCAAAGCCTGTTTCACAGTTGCCCTAGCTGTGGACACATGAGTGTGGACACGTGTGCGAGCCACAGGCTGCACTAACAAGAGGCAGAGCAGACACAGCTGCTGGGGACTTAAGTGATGTTTCCCATATAGCCACAAATACGTTCCGCAAATGTGACCCGTCTGTATGCAGGTCACACTGACATCAACGCCCAGGCCTCATTAATGCCCATCTCTCTGCCTCTAGGGATCTGTAAAAAGGGGGCGACATGAGGTTAAGATCACTAGCCTGGAGCCTTGACCCTGGCTCCTCACTTCCAGCTGCATGTGTCACCTAATTTCAGGTGCCTTCCTTTTGTCCTGTGGGAACTGGAGGTGCAATGCGGCCTGAGGTCAGCCTGAGTCCCAGCTGCAGTGCGTGTGGCCCTTATCGAAGGCCCTGGCAGGGAAGGGTGCTGCCTGTTACATCCAAGTGGCCAAGAAAGTGACCAGCTTACACTGGAATGAGGTTTAAAAAAGGGGACAGCAGAGACACCTTATTTATTTGATCCTGACAATAATCCGTCTTGGCCCCCCATCAGGGTTTACCACGCCCAGCTCTGCTATCTAAAACTGATTTTTGTATTTTCAAATGACTGAAAAAAAATCAACAGAAGAATAATATTTTGTGACCCACGAACATGAGATAAAATTCGGATTCTGGTATCCACAAACGGAAGTTTCTGGGTTCTGGAACCCAGCTGCCCGCTCCTGTCGTCTCGGCTGCTCTCCAGCTAAGGGGTAGAAGTCGCAGCAGCCAAAGCTGACAGAAGCGAAGACACCCAGGACCGGTCCGATTCCGAGGAGTGGGCAGAGGCCGGGAGGCCGGTCACCAGCGTGGCTGTCAGCGGCCCGCAGCGCGGACACCCCGCAGCCGGGCCAGGGCATAGCGGGCTGCTGCGTGGACCTCGCGGTTCCGAAGGCTGTAGATGAGCGGGTTCAGGACGGGCGTGACCACAAGGTAGAAAACGGCCACCAGCTTGTGCTGCCTGGCAGGGAGGGCACTGGAGGCGCGCGGGCGCAGGTACATGGCGCTCACCGTGCCGTAGAAGAGCCCCACTACGGCCAGGTGTGAGCTGCAGGTGGACAGGGCCTTGAGGCGGCTCCTGGCGGAAGGCAACTTGCCCACTGTGGCCAGAATCGAGGCGTAGGAGGCGAGGATGAAGGTCAGGGGCACCAGGAGGATGGGCACGCCCAGGCCAGAGATGAGCCTGTGGTTGGCGGTGGTGTCCGCACACGCCGTCCGCAGCACCGCGGGCAGCTCGCAGAAGAAGTGGTCCACGGCCGGCCTCCCAGCGCAAAAGGGCAGGCTCAGCGCGGCCGCGGCGTTGGGCACCGACAGCGCGAAGCCCAGCGTCCAGGCGGCGCCAGCCAGCGCAGCGCAGCGCAGAGGGGTCACCAGCGTGGGGTAGTGCAGGGGCCTACACACCGCCAAGCTGCGGTCCAGGGCCATGGCTGCCAGGAGCAGCGCCTCGCAGCTGCCCAGGGAGATGCCCACGTAGAGCTGCGCCCCGCAGCGTGCCAGCGAGAGGCGGGCGCGGCGAGAGGCCATGTGCGCCAGCGCCTGGGGCAGCGTGGTGCTCACGTAGGCCGCGTCCAGCAGCGCCAGGTGAGACAACAGGAGGTACATGGGCCTATGCAGCCGCCGGTCCAGCGCGATCAGCCCCACCAGCGCGCCGTTGCCCAGCACCGTGGCCAGACAGGCCAGCAGCAGCGCGGTCCACAGCAAGGGCCGCACGGCCGGCGGGGCCCCCAGCCCGAGCAGCACGAAATCCAGGGTCCCCGATTCATTGCCTGCGGCCAGGCCCATCCTGCCAGCAGAAGGCCAGCATCACTGCAGGGCTGGGGTCCCTTCCTCTTACTGCTCTCCACTGCCTCTGTCCTCCCCCTCTCCCTCCCCCAGGTCCCTCTCCCTCCCCCAGGTCCCTCTCCATCCTCCACCTCCCTCTCCCTCCTCCACCTCCCTCTCCCTCCTCCACCTCTCCCTCTCCCTCCTCCACCTCTCCCTCTCCCTCCTCCACCTCTCCCTCTCCCTCCTCCACCTCCCTCTCCCTCCTCCACCTCTCCCTCTCCCTCCTCCACCTCTCCCTCTCCCTCTCCCACCTCCCTCTCCCTCCTCCACCTCCCTCTCCCTCCTCCACCTCTCCCTCTCCCTCCTCCACCTCCCTCTCCCTCCTCCACCTCTCCCTCTCCCTCCTCCACCTCCCTCTCCCTCCTCCACCTCTCCCTCTCCCTCCTCCACCTCCCTCTCCCTCCTCCACCTCCCTCTCCCTCCTCCACCTCTCCCTCTCCCTCCTCCACCTCTCCCTCTCCCTCCTCCACCTCTCCCTCTCCCTCTCCCACCTCCCTCTCCCTCCTCCACCTCCCTCTCCCTCCTCCACCTCTCCCTCTCCCTCCTCCACCTCCCTCTCCCTCCTCCACCTCTCCCTCTCCCTCCTCCACCTCTCCCTCTCCCTCTCCCACCTCCCTCTCCCTCCTCCACCTCCCTCTCCCTCCTCCACCTCTCCCTCTCCCTCCTCCACCTCCCTCTCCCTCCTCCACCTCTCCCTCTCCCTCCTCCACCTCTCCTTCTCCCTCCTCCACCTCTCCCTCTCCCTCCCCTTCCCTCCCCCTCCTCCTCCCTCTCCCACCTCTCCTTCTCTCTCCCTCTCCCTCCACCTCTCCCTCTCCCTCCTCCACCTCTCCCTCTCCCTCTCCCACCTCCCTCTCCCTCCTCCACCTCCCTCTCCCTCCTCCACCTCTCCCTCTCCCTCCTCCACCTCCCTCTCCCTCCTCCACCTCTCCCTCTCCCTCCTCCACCTCTCCCTCTCCCTCTCCCACCTCCCTCTCCCTCCTCCACCTCCCTCTTCCTCCTCCACCTCTCCTTCTCCCTCCCCCACCTCCCTCTCCCTCCTCCACCTCCCTCTCCCTCCTCCACCTCTCCCTCTCCCTCCTCCACCTCTCCCTCTCCCTCCTCCCCCTCTCCCTCTCCCTCTCCCACCTCCCTCTCCCTCCTCCACCTCCCTCTCCCTCCTCCACCTCTCCTTCTCCCTCCTCCACCTCTCCCTCTCCCTCCCCCCCCTCCCTCTCCCTCCTCCACCTCCCTCTCCCTCCTCCACCTCCCTCTCCCTCCTCCACCTCTCCTTCTCCCTCCTCCACCTCTCCCTCTCCCTCTCCCACCTCCCTCTCCCTCCTCCACCTCCCTCTCCCTCCTCCACCTCTCCTTCTCCCTCCTCCACCTCTCCCTCTCCCTCCTCCACCTCTCCCTTTCCCTCCTCCATCTCCCCCTCCCTCTCCCATCTCTCCCTCCTGCACCTCTCCCTCCCCTTTCCTCCCCTCCCCCTCCCTCTCCCACCTCTTCCTCTCTCACCTCTCCCTCTCCCTTCCCCTCCTTCTCCCTCCCCTTCCCTCTCCCTCCTCCACCTCTCCCTCTCCCTCTCCCCCCTCCCTCTCCCATCTCTCCCCCCTGCACCTCTCCCTCCCCTTCCCTCCCCCTCCCTCCCCTTCCCTCCCCCTCCCTCTCCCTCTCCCCCTCCCTCTCCCTCCTTCCCCCTCCTCTCCCTCTCTACACTGCCTGCCTCCCCTTCATCCCTGCCTGCTGCTCTCTCCCCAGCTGTCACTCCCTATTCTCCCCTTGCTCCCCGCCCTCCTCTCCTGCCCCTCCTACTTCCCCAGCTCCATCTAAGCCCTCAGAAGACCCTGGGCTTTAACTCCTCACCACTTGCCATTGACTTCCTGCGGGAGCTGCTGGCAGCAAGGCTGTGAGGCCCACCGCCCTGTCCACTGTCCAGGGGACCCTAAGGTCAGCCACTCCTGCGGGGTGGTTCATGCACCGCCTGGCTGAGGCCAAGCATTCTGACCTGAGGTCCAGGTTGTGCTTGGAGCCTGTGAACCCCACGATCACATCGTGAGGGCCTTTGTCCATCTGCTGGGTGGGGGCTGCTTTTCCGGGATTCCCTGTCATATTGCAGGTGGGTCAGAGCACTGGCCGCCCCTCCTTGTGTCCTCCTCCTCTGGCATTTCCTCTGGTCTCTCTCCACCCTTCCCAGCCCTGGGCTTCTCCCGGTCACACTTTCTCTGCCCCTCAGTGCTCTTCGGGCCTTTCATCTGCCCTTGCCTTCCCTCCCTCTCTGGTCTGTCCTCTCCACCTGCCTCAGCCTGACCCTCTCTGCTCCTCAGGTCCTGCAGACAGGCCTGTCCAGCGCCTCTTTCCCTGGCCCCTTCTGCCCGCCTCACTGTTCCTTCCTCTTCCTGCCCTTCTCCCCCCCACCCTCCTTCTCTCCTCTGCCTCCTCAGACCAGTGGCGGGGTGACAGCTGGGCTCCAGACCTCGGGCTCCAGACCTGGCCAGCAAGCCCTGCCCAGCAGCAGGTTTGGGAGCAGCACGACCACAAACCCTGCACACTGCCTCCCAGCTGGCCTCAGGGCCCGGCAGTGAAGAGGGGCCAGGGGACATTTGTTAAAAGACATTGGTCAGTGTCAGAGCTGGGTCTCTGCGCCCGGCCTGCTGTGTACACAGGAGAGGGCAGCCTCCGCACTGCCCTCAGACTCACTGAAGAACGAGTGCACCACAAGGAGCCCAGAGAAACGCCCGCGAGTGGAAAGCCCGTATTTGTGGCAGTTGCCACGGATGCTGTGGTTTTGTTACATGATCTTACTGTTGTGTCCCTCCACAGCACACGTGGCCACTGCGGGCCACTGGTTCTTCACCTCTCCTTAGAGTCCACCCAAAGGCAGAAACCTTCTCCCTGAAATATCCTAGGCCTCAGTTTTGTGTATGAGTTCAGGGGTGGTCAGTCCTTGAACCAGTCCCAGCAGCCCTGGGGAAAGGCCTGGTATGTGTTGGAAACCATGTTCTGGGGCAAGTGCTGAAGCCATCACGCTCCTTCCACTGGTGACAGACAGGCCCAAGGAAGCAGTCGGTTAGAATGCCCAGTGGGATCCGCTGCCAAAGACCCCAGGCTGGGGACTCATGGACACAGGGGCTGACCCCATGTGACAAAGGGTGCTGCTGGAGTGTGGTCAGGTCCTGCCCTCCCTGTCCTCCCTGTCTCCAAGCGCAACACCAGCCGTGCTCCCAGGCAACGTGTGGCTTGTTTCCTGTCACACCTCCTTAGGAAATCTCCAGTGAGCCCCTGGCCTCAGAACAAAGGGATCCCTCAACACCCTCGGGTGGCCCCTCAGAACCTGGAACACCTTTCTGACATCCCCAGCTGCCCGACTCACTCCTCATCTCCCAGACCACGGTGCTGAGCTGTTCACCATTGAGGCACATTTATTGAGCACCTGCAGGCAAGATAGGAACTGAGCTGGACCCCGGTCACCAGAGGCTGAGGGTCCTGCCTCCCCTCAGGGCTCACCAGAGGCTGAGGGTCCTGCCTCCTCTCCAGGGACATCAACAGGAGTCCGGGAGACAGAACCAACAAGCAAGCTCATAGTCAAATAGCCCCAGGTTTGCAGAGTGACTGTTTGTGAAGGAGACGTGAGTGACACAGAGAAGCCACCATGAGCAGGTGCTGAGAAGAGCTGGGGAGGGCACTGCAGGCAGAGGGGTGGCAAGGCCAAGGCACGGGGCAGGATCCAGCATAGCTGGTCAGGGAGGCCAGTGGCTGGGCACAGGGGGTGAAGGAAAGGAGGTGTGGGTGAGGAGGAGGGGCCCGAGGGGCCAGGCCCAGCAGGGACAGGGTAGCAACAGAGGGCCAGGCAGGGACTGGGAGGCCACAGGGAGGCCCAGGCAGGGATGGGGTGGCTTTGGAAAGTGGCGGTCAGAGGCAACACATTCTGGCTCACAGACCCTGGCAGTTTGAGGAGAGCCGTGGGCTCCAGCCTTGCTGTGCTGTGGGGCTGATCCTAGGCATGTGCCACGGGCACAGTGTGTGGACAGTTCTGGGAATTCACGAACCTGCGTTAAGTCCCTTGTCTACAAAACACTGGCCCAGAGGAAGGGACCCTGGTGTCGGGCTTACTCCTTTCTCCAGAGCCTGTGGGACCCACAAACAGCATGTCCAGCAGGCAGCTGGACACAGGGGTCTGGAGCTCGGGCACTCACTGCTGGACCTGAGACTTGAGGGTGCCCAGTGCCATCAGCAGTCATGAGCGGCTGAAGTCGCAGGCAGGGAGGGAGGTCAAGCTGCAGAGCTGGCCAAGGAAGCAGCCAGTGCCCATTGGCCATGAATGCCTTTGAGAAGGAGAACATGGTCCCCAGAAAAACTGCCCCCAGATGGTTGTTCACCGTGAGATCCCTGGATCTCAGCACATCCTACTGCCCCCGGGGTCTCCCCAGACGTCAGAGTCACCTACTCACAGAAACGCCTCCCTCCTTAGAGAGCTGGGCAGCCTCGGGGCTTCAGAGTCACATCACGGGCAGACGATGCTTCCCAAGCACGGGGCAGGCAGCGTGTCAGAGGCCGGGGCGATGGAGCATGATCCCAGCTGGCCTCAACAGACCAGTTAGAGACCTCAACCTGGTCCTGGGAGAAGCTGGCCACACAGGGACTGGAGGAGCAGTCACCAGACTCCCCACGGTGGGTGCCTTAGGACAATCCCTCGCACCCACAGAGAGTCTAATTAGCCATCGCTAATGAGGCTCAGGTGGCCCCTGAACTGTCCACAGGCCCCTGGGGCCGGCTCCCAAGGCCACGGGGAGGAAAGCCCACGGGCCTGGGTTCACCTGCTGCTGTTCCCCACGCCCTTCCTCCCCTTCTCTTCCCCTGGGTCTCTCCAAACACCTACCTCTCTGTCCACTCCTCGGGAGTCCTCTGCCCTCTCCTTGCCCACTCTCATTCCCCTTCGCTTTTGTCGGTGCCCCCACCCGTACCCAGCCTTTCTCTGC